AAATGCGTGTGGTTATATCGATATATGTGCGCTTTAAGCCTGCAGCTGTCTTTTTCTAATTGTTACATGCGTGGGCACACAGTCAATATACCCTTTTGTTGGACATTTTCATATACAGGGTATTTTAAAAAGGAGCAACAAATGCATAGAAATTGCCAATTTCCAGTTGTTTGTCGGGCAGTTTGCGGTTGTTGCCAGTTGTTGTTGTTGCTGCCACGCGCCATGTGCAGCAACAAGCAGCAACAAGCAGCAGCAGCAGCAGCAACAACAAGTCAAGCGCCACTTTGGACTCTTGACAAATTGTGAGCAACGTGCGCAATTGAAACAATTTAATCCAAAGCAACAACATAAACAACAACAACAACAACCGTTGTAAGAAACGGTGGCAACTGAACTGAAATGCTAAAACTCCATGTTGCACATTCGCACAGTGGGACTGGCAGCCAAATTTGCTGACAAAAGATGTGGGAGAGGAAATTTAATTGAAAAAGAATATTTTTATAATCATAGAAGAATTCTTAGCTGAGATTTTCCTGCTTTCTGCAACAAATAAAATTAGTTTTACTTCAGTGTTTGATTTACTGACTGATTGATTGAAGCACTACAGTGATTGACCGACTGATTGACGACCTACGTCTGCATTTTTGACAGCAGCCAACTTTTCCGATTTCGCACGTGACTGTGGAAAATCGCCGGAAACTCTTTAAAATTGTAATTTATTTTTGTTCTCTAGTCAATCTGCAAAGTCATACGTTTGGGCAATTCCACGGCGTCAGGTGGAAAATGAGCGTAAATTTAGCGCAACTCATAAAAACTTTAAGACCGAATTAAAAGTACTTGAAGCTAAAACGTAAGTGAATACGTGTTAAAAACTTTCTTGTTCACGCGCGGAAAATGCGTGAAAAGTTAGCGGTGGAAAATGGTTTTCCAACAGGCTAAAAACAGAAGGAAATTTAACTAGCTAAAAACTTATGTAAAATTAGTTTCATCAAATTGTTCGCTCATAAGAACCAGTTCCAACAGGCAAAATATGAAACATGTAACTAGTTGAACTGAAAGTTTAAATTAGTTTCATCAAGTTATTCGCTCATAAGAACCAGTTCAAACCAGCAAAAATGCGGAATTTAACTAGCTAAAAACAAAACTAAAATGAGTTTTATCAAATGTTTCGCTCATAAGAACCAGTTCCAACAAGCAAATGTAGAGAACAGTAACTAATTAAAATCAGACTTCAAATTGTATTTCTCTAGTTTTTCGCTCATTGGAACCAGTTCAAGGCAGCACCCAAATGAACTAGCTAGCAACAAAAACAATTGAAGAAATGAAACATTTTTATCAATTGTTTTTGTTGTTTTTGCTGCTCTGCGAATGAGCGCACATTTAAGTGTGTCGCGCCAAGGAACTGGTTCACAATTGAACTGTTCTCACATGCAAAAAAAAAAAAAAGAAAAGCAAACAGCAATCAAATGATTAATTGGCTTTTACCGTTCCGCTCAACTGTTATCGGTTCCAATAAGTGATTCGTTTTATGTATCAGAGGCTATTAATAAGCCAAGTGCGAACGTGTGTGTGCGAGTGTGTGTATGTGTGTGCGAGTGTGTGTGCGAGTGTGTGTGTGTGTGTGTCTGCATATTTATCGATAACTAGTGAAAAGCAGCGCATGCATAAACATGTCAGCGAGCGAGTTTTTAAACAAATGCCAACGAGCAAACACATGTCAGCCCGTGTCCAAGGCAGGGAGGCGGGTCAGGGATTAATGCAGCTAAAAAGGGGTGGGGCGGTGCGGGGGCGGGCCCTGCTAAGTGGAGAGCGGCTAGGGTAGCGTAGATGGTATCAGCTCCTTTGCGTGTAACACCGGGCGTATGATGAATGTGCATTTAATTGTAGCCTGCCAATTGGCCAAGTCATACGGGGGCGTGGCAGGGCAGCAGGGTGGTAGGGGGGCGTGGAAGGGGGGGGGGGGGTGGGCGAGCCAGTAGCCAGAGCTTGTAGGCGGCAGCTGTGGGCCGCTAAATGTTGCCATTTATTCGTATTAAAGCTTAAATATGCCAATCGAAACATTAAAAAACAAGTGCGGCAAAAAAAAAGTCGAAGCAAAAACAAAAACAAAGCAGAAAAAAAAGGCCAAAGCATACGAACACGACAGCAAAATAGTTAATAAATAATTAATAAATAAAGTAAACAAATGGCAACAACAAGAGCTGAACTGCGATCGATTTGCATATCAACATTTCACATTAAATTCTATTGAAAGCTTTTCTCACTTTAGCCCCAATTCTGCCCCCCCCCCCCCCCCTCCTCCATCCTTTTGTTTTTTGTTGCTAATTTATTTTTTGTTTTGCTTCTTGTTTTCATCATTTTTGAAATTCAATGAGCCGCATTTCCAGCCTCAATTACCAGCTACTTGCGAGCTAGAGATGGGCGCGTGACACGCAGCGCATATCGAACGTGTTGCGAACACTGAGTGTTGTCGAAAGAAAATAACTATGTTAATCTACCGATAAGTTAATCGATAAATGCTACGATAAATTAATCGATAGTTCGAATAGCTGTTTTGTCTCTTGTTATAAATATATCGATAACTATAACAGTTTAGTCGATGAATATATCGATATTTGTCATGTATATATTTGAAGAAAACGGCAGGAAGTATATATTTTGAAATCTTACTGATTAGTACTTGAGAAACTTTCGATAAATTCATCGATAATGGTTGGGCAAAATGTATCGATAAATATATTGGCTGCAATGAAATCTTATTATCGATAAAAGTATCATGGAATACATTGCCAGAATATATCGATACTTTTTGGCATGTGGTTCGTGTCGAAATACGCAGCCATCTCTAATCGAAAAGATCTGAACGAACCGCAACAAACGATCAATACAATCGATAATGTATTTATTGGCATTGATTTACTCGGAAGACCCGACCCGGACCGTCTGTGGGAGGGGGCAAACGTCGCGATCGCGGTCGCGGGTGCTGGCACTGGGACAAAATTTATGATGGCATTTACCTAATGGCAATGCGGCAATGTTAAATGCAAAATAGCTGAAATGTGCGAGAAATATGCAAAAATGTATAGTGTTATTTGTAATTTACACGAAATATAACATTCACACATAATACATGTGTCTATTGATAATACATTTGCATCATTAATCAACAGAAAAACTAATTTATGTAATAAAAACAAGCGTAAAATATCGAGACAACTTTATGGAAGCTTCAACGAGAGCGTTTTCCTTAACTTAGCAATTCTCAGGCTATGGCCAATCGGAAATCAATATTATAGACAAAGTTAAATTGATTGAAAATTAATATATATAATTTAATCCGTTTTTGAAAAACGCCCAAAAGCCCGCCACAAATGTCGTTCAAGCTCAACGAACAGTTGTAGTCGATACATACACCAACGCGTTGCTAACTAAACGAATTCTCAGCGCCGATCAGCACCCCTTATTAGCGTACACGTGCGTATTTAGACACACACCTGTTAGTCAAGTTACTAGTGCTTAAGCGAAGACAACAGACCAAAATTAAGACACTCACCGTCAGTAGTGACACACGCTTAGTCAGACACACAACCAGTGCTAAATTTTGCTGTATATAAAAGTACTAATCGTGCGCTGAGCTTTGGCACAGAAAGCTACTTAATACTCCGTAGCAACTTTTTACACCATATTATTTGCAACCTTAATATTATTATGTTTTGTACTATTCATCCTTACACATTGTAAACTCAACGACTTTTGTGTGGTCGTAAGCCCCATTCAGACATACACCTTTCACTTTGGTCTTACCCAATTTACTGACCAGCAAGAGCCCCAGTGTAGACACATGCTGCTCACTTAACGAAAGCTGTTGGCATTGCTAACGATATGTTCTAAAATTCAGCTTACATATTCTTATGCTTTTACAGCGCGCTGCGGCACTTTGCCCCAGCGCATATTCCCTTTAGTTTAAATGTGATTACATTGGAATATCGATATATCGAATGATTAACGCGCACGCGCGCCTATCGATGCCGCCTGCTGTTCGTCGATATATTTTGTGATTGCACTCAAAGCGGCGCCTAGCAACATTAACGCATTGGCAACATTCGCTGCAGTTGGCAACATACGCTCTCCATAGCCAAAGTCAACGTCGGGCAGCGGAATCGGTCGGTTTTATTTCAAATTTAATTCCCATTGCACACACGCACACTGTGACAATCTCTACAAATACATACATAAATCGTTCTTGTTCTTGTTGCTGTTCTTGTTGTTGTGTTGTTTTTTTTTTTTGTCATCTCGCTGCAAGTGACACACATATGCAAGTGAGTGTGTGCGTGTGTTTATGTATTTATATAGCTTAAAGTGAACTTTATTCGAATCGAACTGTCGTTTATTTTTATTTGCAATACGTTTGCCAACATTTGCTGTGTGCGTGTGCGTGTGTGTGCGTGTGTATATAAATTGTAAGTAAGTCCTGTTAGGGGCACGGATGGTGGCGGGGGCGGGGGGGGGGGGGGGGGGGGGGGCGGCGCTGTGGCAACGCCAACGTCAACGCCACAATTAAATACAAGTGAAAAATCAATACCGTTATACCGTTAGCATTTTGTTGTTGTGCTTGCCTCTCCGCACATTCCCCACTCAATTCGCCCCGTGCCTGTCTCTCTATGTGTGTGTGTGTGTGTGTGTGTGTGTGCTTGGAATTCTGCGTATTGGCAAACATTCATTGCAATTCTCAAAGAAAACAAATGCGCTGAAAACTAGACTCCAGCTGCCGCACACCTACACACCTACACACCTACACACATGCACACACACACACACACACACATATGTATGTATTATATACCTTTCCTTTTGGCTGTTGCCAGGCAGAGGGCAACAAGCGCACACACACCAGCCCCTCCCCCTGCCCACGTATGTCAGAAGCAACAAACGTGCGACGTTTTTCAGTTAACCGTTATCCCTGTTTCTTATTCCTTTTACTGCTGTTTTCCTATTTTTAGGTCACATTCGATTTTCGCCCTAAGCTCTAAATTCGCTGCGACTGCTGCCGGCTAAGCACACACACACACACAGACACAGGATGCTGCTCAATACTTACGCAACGCTGGCGACATCTGACGGCGTAATTAGCCAACACTAATCGTGTAGCTGCTCGCTTTTGCATTCAAACAACAACAAGAACTAACGGCAACTAAGGGCAGCAGGCATAGAGATAAGAAGAAGCATGGCCAACAACAGCAATTCGTCGGCAACCGCATCGCTGGCCACAACGCCGGCGACGACGCCAACAGCGCTGACAACGGCGGCGACAACAGCCAAACGTCTGGGCTATACGGCTCCCGCGGCCACCGCGTCGGTCATCTGCGAGGAGGTCTTCGATGAGGCATGTTTGCCATCTTCCGAGGGTGAGTTGAAGACGGGGCCTAAGGGCAAGCACGTCAGTCTCTAACCCGTAGAGCAGACACCCCCTCCCCTGCACCTGCCCCTTACCCAGCATTCGAAACTTGAGTCCTGTGCGCAACTTATTTGCCTTGCGGCAGGTTCGTTTTGGCGTAGGACTGCGTCAACATAAGCTAGAACTACGCAGTTGCTGTAAATGCAGTAAAAATGACGCTGTCAGTGTTAACATGTGCATTAACAGTGCTGTTAATGTTAATGTGAAGCTGAACACGTAAGCATTGCTGTTAATTGTATTATTGTTGGCATAGATTGAAAGCTGTGACTGGCACATATGTTAAAGTTGCGATGCTGTTAATCTTAGCACTTAACAGGGTTCTTAATTGACTTGGCTAACATGAGTGCTGTTAAAATGCTGTTGATGTTATTGCTGTTAGAAAACTCGTTTTGGCTAGGCTGACATATGTTGAAATAATTTATGTAAAATAATCAGTATGTTAACGCGTCGAGATAGCTTTATGCCAACTTTTTTGTCATAAAACAGAGGCTGTTAACATATGTTAAATGGGCATGTCTCTGTTAATGTAATGCCAAATATGTTGACGCCTCTGATTTGTTATGTTATGACTGCTAGCTTAATAGCTGGGCTAACATAATGTATGTCAAATTGATGCTGTTTATGTTCACGCAAGAAAACTGTCGCTCTTGAGAGTATTTTATTGATTTTATTGAATTGCTGACTCGACCAACATATGTTAAGGCCAGCCTATCACTGTTAATGTGACACTCAATATGTTAACACATTAACATATTTTAAATTGTGCTGTAAATGCTATTATTGATTAAAATTAATATCAGGGTACCCAATGTCAATGCTCAGCAGACGGCAAATAGATATCAAATTCCCTTTCGTTTTGATCAAATGTCGCCTAGCGCGTGCTCACTGTACGGGCTACGCCCAATAAGAATGTCCTTTAACGGACCCATTTGTGACAAAGCTAAAGGGACTCAGTCAGGGGAATTATCGTATGTAAATACTAGGTACAGTGATCGCTCGCGAAGAAGAACTTGCAGAAGTAACAAATGGAAAACCAATTTGCAAAATCTAAATAAATAAATTATAACATTAAATAATTCAAAAAGGCTCAGAAAAACCTTGTTGATTCTAAAGTTGGCGAAGAGAAAAATATGATTTACCAATATTAAAAGTGCAGAACTTCCTTTTTTGTGCGGGCTTCGGCCAAGAGAAAAATCACGTTCATGTAGGATTTAAATAGACCTTGTCTATAGACAGAAATATCACCGAACCCCTCTACTCTCTTGTCTTCATTGCGAATTTCGAATTTATAATTAAAACAAATAAGAATTTCTATGCCAATAAGAAAGTACTTTAAAGACAAAGCGTTTCAGCTAGCGAGCGAACACTGTAGCTATTAAAAAAAATAGGTGTGTAGGGGTTGTTCATGGGCTTGGTTTAAGGTACATTCTTTTTCGCAGTTCGGTTAATGGGTCAACTTAAAGTGTTTGTGAGCGTGTGTGTGCGTGAGTGTGTGTATGCCTCGGTGGTTGGTTAATGCTTTGCGTTTTGTTTGGCTACTTTTGGTCAGCTGTTCAAGGGAACTGGAACCAGGAAACAGAGGAATCGGGAAAATGTGAAACCTGAGAAACATGTGGAAATGAGAAACTGTAAGCCGCTTCATGGATCTGCTCAACTAATTAATTGTGACTGCAAATGCCTTAAGCGAGTGTGTTTTAGCTGTTCAAATGAATTGGGGAACAAGGGTATTCTGCAACTTGAGGAACGTGTGGAATTGGGAAACTCTAGGCCCTAGATATCCTCAAGTAGTTGAAAGTTGTGACTGAACGTTAGCTCTTCAAATGAACTGGAACTAGGGAACAAAGGAACTGTGAAAGCTGATGAGCTGAGGAACATGTGAAATCGGGAAACTCTAAGCCATTTAACTCGATTCCCTCAAGAAATTAAAAGTTGTGACGTTTGTGTTTTAGATGGAACTGCTTAAACTGGAGAAAGAAAACTGAGGAACTGTAGAACTCGAGGAACGTGTGGAATTGAGACAGGCAAAACCGCTAAGCAGACTGTTGAGCTGTGAGCGAATTAAGTAAATGTGTGGTTCTGGAACTACGGAACAAAGGAACTGTTAAACTTGAGGAATATGTGGAATTGGGAAATTCTTAGCCACTATACAGACTGTTGAGATGTTATCGAATTAAGGAGTGCATGGTTGGGTGTAAACTGTTCAAATGAACTGGAACTAGGGAGCTGGGGAACTGGGGAACTGTAAAACCTGAGCACCTTATGGAGTTAAGAGCTTGAGTGTTGAGCTGTTAACGAGCTTAGCGAGTGTGCGTTTGTATGCGAGGGGTTGGCTATGACGACGACGACGAACCACCCTGGAAAAAACGCAGCGACATATTGCGCACAACTTGGCCAAAACGCAACGTTTTTTTCTTTGTGGCAATTGACGTTGCCAGGAAACCAGCGTTGACCGCTGCACGAGATATGTTTTTGTGGTTGACGGTGGTTGCAGGTGCTGCCACAATCAATAAGGGGGAGAGAGAGAGAGAGAGAGAGAGAGAGAGAGCAAAAGCGAGCACAGGCCACAAGCCGCAGTCGATTGGCATTCAGTCGCATTTCTTAGCCGGGCTTTCAATCTGGTGCCGCTTTGTTTGGCCTGGCCAAATGGAATTTTTAAGCGCTTCGAGAAAGCTTTTGCCAGAGCCGAGATTCTTTTCAAATGAAAAGCAAGCCTCATATTGAAAGCAAAATCACAAATTTCCTTTTCACGTAGTGCCTCGAGGAGCAGGAGAAGCGGGAGGAGCTGCAGTAGAAGGAGGACAAACAGCTGCTGGGCCCAGCTGGATTTGACACAGTTCGTAAGCTTTTCATTAGTCCGAATTAGCATTAGAGGCCCTTTTGTGCGCCCCCAGACAATCTGGCCAATAGCTCTGGGCCAACAAGCTTGCCAGCCATTATGTGGGCCACTTGAAAACAAAAGCCAAGGCTTTTTATATATCCTATATGGTTATTTAATATTTATAAGAAATGAATATGTGTGTCTATACACACAAAGGAGACCCACTTAACAGCATTTGCTTTGCGTTTTTTTCTAGTTTTAAACCCGCTTTTAACTAAAAAGAAGCTAGAACTATCATTAAATCCGCTTTAAGGCACATTTGGCTTGAATTTGGCGGCCAAAAAACTCGCTAGATCTCTTTTAAAGCACACTTGCTTGAATTTAGCTACTTTTTAATCGGAAATTTAACTTGTTTCCAGTTTTTTACCGCTTTTTATAAAATATTCCATTTATCTGGCTTTAAAGCGATTGTAAGCCCGCTTGCAAATAAAAGTAAAGCCAAAAAAGTCGTAAAATTGGCTTAAAAGCAGCTTTAGCTTGAATTTAGCTACTGATTGGCTACAATTTTGATATTTTCAAGTATTTTTAAACCTCATTCAAATAAATTAACCACTTGACTAACGATTTTCAGTTAGTCTTAAACCTGCTTTAAGTTTAAACCCGCTTTCAAGCAAAAGTAAAGCCAAATATGTCGGAAAATCATCTTTAAAGCTCCTTTAGCTTGAATTTAGCTACTGACTGGCGACTAATTTTATATTTTCAATTATGTCAAAACCGAATTACAATTATTTGCCCACTCGAAAGCGCTATTCAGATAGTCTTAAAGCTGCTTTAAACCTGCTTTCAACTAAAAGTGAATGGCAGAAAAGTCACAAATGTAGCTGATAATTGGCAGCAAGTGAAACTCCCTGCTTCTTCGAACCCATAAACTATTTTTATATTCTTGATCAGCAGGCGAGTAGATATAGCCCATGTTCGTCTCTCTATTTTCTTGAAACTTAGCCAGGGTCCGTTCTGTTCTGTTGTTGATTCGAATGATTCGAATCGCTATATCATATAGCTGCCGCTCGAGAAGTAGGGTCTGGCTGGACATTCTTTTTAGTTTATCAAAACAACTTGACAAAGCTTGGCATTTATAAGCTTCACCATGCTCCCCAAACAAATGCGAAATATTCTTTTGTGAAAAATTATTTATTTTGTTGACCTAGAAATACGATTTAAGCTATAATGCCTGGTCTTATCTTAATGCTATATAACATATAGCTCTAAAGGAGGAATAGGCTTAAAATATATATAAATTCCGTTCTTCAAGATATTCTCATCGAGCTTCGCTTTTAAGAGGTTCACAGTTCTAACATAACTGCCAAGCTGTTGGGCAAATGTTGGACAGGGCATCAAGTCTTCGGTGTGCCGGATATATATCCACTTTCTCCTTTGTAGAAACTAATTGGGCTTAGTAGGCGTGGCAGCTGCTGTAAGGCAACACAATTGTCGCATAATATAATTATTGTAATCATATAAATTGTATATACTTACCTTGTTCTCTTCGATTCGCAGAGATAAACGATTATGCGTCTCTGATTGGCATCGAGCCGAGCAAGGAGCCGCATCTGTTGTATCTGGCCAAGGAGGGGCTTATGGCCGCATTGCCCCCGGAGTGGAAGATCTGGTGAGTAGATGGCCAGAGGCTCTGCGCAAGCTAGCTGAGGATGCACTTACTCTCTGCCTTTATCCCATTAAGCTATTCGGAGGAGAAGAGCGGACATTATTATTACAATACGCGGACCAAGCAATCGCAGTGGGATCATCCGTTGGACGCCGTCTATCGTGAGCTGGTCGAGCAGACGCGCCAGAAGCTGCTGCTGCTGGGCACGGGGGCGGCTGCTGGTGCTGCCACGCCCATTATAGATAATTCGGACGATGTGTCGCAGCTGGACTCGGGCATACGCAGCATGCAAGGCACCGACGAGTTGCTGGACGACATGAGTTCGCCCTTAAACAACGTCGCCAGCCAACAACCAGGACCGGGAGCTGGAGCTGGAGCTGGAGCTGGGAGCAGCAAGCCGCATGCAAGCGCGTCCGCCGCTTTTCCGGGTCCCAGCGGATTTAGTGGCGGCGTCAGCCGCTTTCTGGAGACGCGCGGCAAGAGCTTCGGGCCGATCTTTCAGCCGGTGAAGAACACGCGCTTCGAAGTGGCCAAAACGAATACACAGATCAGCTTGGCCATGAAATTTGCACCAGCTGCCGCCGAGTCGCAGCCCAAGAGCGGATTTCAGCTATCGGGCAACGGCGCCATGTTCCTCAAGTCGCGACGCCAGCTGGAGCCAACAGAGCCGGCGTCGGGCAATGCGTATGGCGTCAAGGGCATATTGCGGGACACGAGCTTGACGGACATGCGACGTCGCTACGAACGGGACGAGGATGCCACGACGATGGCGACGACGACGACGACGGCGACGGAGGATAAGAAGAGCGTGCGATTTAATCTGGTGGAGACGCAGCGCATTTGCAGTTCACCCGTCGTGGAGGAGGAGAATGCGCGCAAGCCAAGCCAATCGCCTGAGGTGTCCGACGAGGAGGCCGCCGGGCTGGAGGAGCATGAGCAGCAGCGCGTGGGGGAGGAGGAGGAGGAGGTGGAGGAGGAGGAAGAGGAAGAGGATGAGGAGGATGTGGCAGTAGAGCATGCCGACGAGGAGGATGAGGAGGAAGACGAGGACGACGACGACGACGATGTCTGGGACGAGGATGTGGCCGATCCGGACGCCATGGTGGGCATGTGCAGCCTGAATCCCTTCATCAGTGACTCGCCAAAAGGCATACGGATTATCAGCCTGCCCAAGTCGCAGACCATACAAATGCTAAAGGCACAGGAGGAGTCCTCCGGCGTTAAGGCGGAGACGAGCAGCTATCTGGACAAGCTGAAGGAGTGCGCCGGCGGGGCGACCGTGAAGCCTCTGTACGAGGACACCGACTCGGACTCGAAGGGCAGCTCGGTGCGCAGTTTCATTGTGAACAAATCGGAGCAGGACAATCCCTTCGAGCTGGAGCAGCTGCAGCGCAAATCGTTGGCCACCAGCGAAAAGCTCGGCATGCGCAGCCTCAAAATGGCCAGCAAGCTGGTCGGGCTGCTCAAGAGCAAGGAGCAGCAGCAGCAGCAGCAGCAGCATCATGGATCCGGCGAGCTGCTCGGCGAGGAGGACATGGAGGCCATCAAGCGGGAGCATGAGGCGCGCCTGAAGAGCCTGCGCCACGACTACGACCTGCGGCTGAGCGCGCATCAGCAGCAGCTGGAGGAGGCATTCCAGCTGCAGCTGGAGGAGTATCGCGGACAGCTGGAGCAGCAGCTGCAATCGAAGCGCGCCCAGGTAGTGCACGAGCACAAACAGCGCATGGCCACGCTGCAATCGAATCATGCCGAGCTGCTGCACGAGCTGGAGCGCGATCTGCGCTCCGAACAGGAGCTGCTGCGACGCGAGCACGCCGCCAAGCTGGGCCAGATGCGCGACAAGCTCAGCCACGAGCTGGAGCTGGAGAAGCAGCGACTGCGCGACAATGGCGAGGAGCGTCTCTACGAGAAGGTGCGCTGCGAGAAGCGACTGCTCGAGGACAAGTATCGCTGCCTCAAGGAGAAGTATGTGCGGCTCAAGACCGATGTGAAGCTCTCGCTAGAGCGGCGCAGTCGACGTCGCGAGGCGCAGGCGCTGCAGCAGCAGCTGGAGCAGGGCCAGGGTCAGGGCCAGACGCAAACGACAACCAACTCGGAGACGGAGCGCTCGCTCTCGCAGAAGCCCTCGATTGGCAACAGCGAGAACCGTTCGCTCAGCTACTCGGAGCAGGCCGGCGCTGGAGCTATTGGTGGCTCTGGCGGCGTCAAGCTGAAGCCGCCTGTGCCGCCCAAGACGCACCTGAGCAAGCCGTCGGGCATTGCCAGCAAGTACATTAAGCAGCTGCAGCTGCAGGAGGACACAAACACCTCGCTCAGCCAGTCGGACACGACCATATCGAACAACTACGGCAAGGGACGCTATTTGGCGCCGGCTCCTAACACCGCCAGCACCGTGCTGCTCAGCGACAATGGCAACTCCGACTCGGAGGCACAGCACGAGACCAACAATAATAACAATAATAACAACAACAAGTTGGCAGCGCCGCGCAAGAAACTCTTCTCACGCACGAAATCCGCTTCGACATCGCGTCTCAATTCGGAGAACTTCAAGCAGCTGGAACAGCGTCCGTGTACGCCCGTCGAGAATCTGCGGCATCAGCTGCAAAAGCTGGAGGATCTGGAGGATCAGTTGCCGGAGCATACGCTGGACACCACCTATCATTTGCGCTATCCGTTCACGGACATTGCCGGCGAGCATGCCCAGCTGGTTGGCACCGTGGTCGGCTCCGAGCTGGAGTTCTTCAAGCATCGCATCCATTTGGAGCGCGACTCGGTGCGTCGGGCCAAGGAATCGCTGCGCACGCAACGCACCAATTTCCGGGCACGTCAGCGTGAGATTAAGCAGCGCCACAAGAGTTTGGCGCTGGCCGCGACGCGACACTCGCTGGATCAGCTCATCCAGGAGGAGAAGGAGCTGACCGAAATGGAGGTGAATCTGCATCGGACGCGTGCGCTGCTCGGCGAGAAGGTCATCCGTTTGCGTCATCTCGAGCAGAGTCTGCTGCGCATCTACGAGAAGGAGAAGCAGCCCAGTGTCGAGCCGGAGCCCAAGGATGAGGCGGCCACGCTCAGCGATCTGTCCTCGCACTCCAGCTCCGGCTTCAGCAGCACGGACTTCGCCAGCGGCGCTGCCGCCGATCTGCACAAGCGCAAGGAGTACTTCCAGCAGGAGTCCAACGAATGCATACAGAATCTCGAGATACTCAATGCCGAAATACGCGAAATCCTAGACATACTCGGCCACAAGCAACAGCAGCAGCAGCACCTGGCCATGGCCATGCCGCTTATCTCCCCGAACGAGCTCAGCTGGTCGCACATGCTCAGCCAGCAGTCCGGCACGGGCACGGCCACGGGCACGGCAACGGCCAGCGCCGGATCGAATCCGAGCGTGCATGCACCGCAATCGATACCGACGCTGGCGGATCGACTGGAGACGTATCGCCAGCTGGCCGCCGGACGCATGCACAGCTCGATGGGCGGCGCCATCTTGGCGGCCAATACGATTGTCTCGCAGAGTCCGCGCGCCGTCAACTATACGACCAGCCTGGTGGAGCGGACGCGCGACTTGCGCAATTGGCTGCGTCAAGCCAAGACCGAGCATGAGCTGCTCACCGGCATCGGTGTCCAGCATGGCCTGACCCTGCCGCCCTCAGTGCCCGGCAGCGCTGGCGCTGGGGGCGCGGCCGGGGGCGGGGGCGGAGGAGCGGCGTGCTCGACCCAAACTAATTTGTAAGCCAAAGCATCACTAGTCCAAGCTCTGGACAGAGTCTGGTAATACCCTTTACAGAAAGAAAAAAAACAAATACCCTCTAAAAAGTGCAGAGGGGTAGCTTGATTTAGCCGATTATTATGCCTTTTGTGTCTGCCTTTTACTTGAGCCTAGCATTGTTTTTGTTTTTTGCACTGAGTTGCCACAGCTGCGCGCATACCCTGTAAATATGTGCCAACCGGGCTTACAGGGTATATATGCAGCTTGATTGTTTTAGTTATATCTAAGTTTTAAGTGTTTTTGACAACTTGTTTTAAGCTAGCGTAAACCACAAGCTATCATAAAAAAAAAAAACGAGTATATATATATACCCTAAAATTTTCTGCATATAAGGTATGTTCACAGTTGGGCCAACCAACTAGAGAAATCATAGTCGAATGGCAAAGGGCTGAGTACATTAACTGAGTACATTAACTGCAAGTTAATCTGACTGTCAAAGTTATTTAGCAGCTTACACTGAAAGAAATATAATCAAACTTACAAGAGATATTCCAAAAAAAATATATATATATATATATCTATAAAGCAACATAAATGAAGACAAAATAGAAGATAAAATAAAAACGAATAACGTCGGCGCGCCAAAGTTAAAATACCCTTGCAGAGCTTACCAGGGAGTATTTCCATATTAAAAAAAAAGCGATTTTCCTTTCGATTCATTGTTTATTATATGATAAAGTGGTCCGCTGTTAAAAAGATTTTGTGGGGATCTTAAAAGCAAACTACATTTAAATAAAATAATAAAATAAAGTTCTTCACTCCAATTTTGACCCATTTACCCCATAGTAATTCTATGATATAGATGTCCGATTTGAGTCTGAAATTTGACTACAACTTTTAAAGGCCAAAGTTTTCATTCAAGAGCCAAAGCGGGAATTATTTGCATACGAAAACTCTATTTCCCGACCGATTTCACACGTAGTTACGATACGATATATTTGTTCCGCTATTAAGATTTTGCGGGAATCTTAAAAGCATACTAAAGTAAAGTTTTTCAGTCCAATTTTAGCCTATTTAGCCTATAGTAACTATATAAAATAGTTGTCTGACTTTACTCTGACCATAACATTTAAATGCCAAGAGGATAAACTAAAAAGTTTTTCAGTCCATTCCGATTTCTAGCTGAACCAGATAATATATATATATATATATATACCATAACGGTCAACGCCTGCAAGCGTGTCAAATCTAGATAGTTTTGTGTACTCTTATATTTTATATAAATATATAAATAATTATTTTGATATGATTTCTGAATCTGACTAAAAACTTAAAATGCACAACTAAATACTTTATATAGCAACTTGAAGAACTATCAAAAAACTATGTGTTATATATAATTAACAAAAAAAAAAAAATTAAATACCAAAGACATCAAAATAATACTAAATACGTAAGCAAAGACGAACTTAAGCCGAATAAGAACTTACTCTACTCTTTTTTCGATGAAACAAATTTCTAGAAAAGTAGCTCCTACAAAAACATAAAATACTTAAAGTAAAATATACCGAAAATTTAGCTAAATAATTAAAATCAAATAATGCTCGAGGCAAACTAGCTTTACAGATCTTAACTAGTTTTATAATTCATACAATTATCTGCAAATTTCATTTTTGGTATTTTTGGTATATTTGTTGGTATGTTTTCGGTATTTTTGGTATTTAACATATCAGTAAAAATTTTTGCAACAAATGATCTTTAAAGTTCGTTTGTCTCGAGCATGTCAACAAATTGTACCAGAGTTGAAACAAAAACATAAGAAGAAAAATATTATTAAATGTTTAAATGTTTTATCTTATAGATATTGAAGATAAAAGAGATGGCAGTGGAAGTCATAGATAAAAATAAGAGAGTGAGAGAGAGAGAGAGAGAGAAGCGAACTCGAAGCACAATTTAGTGGAATGCAGGTCACGTATTGTTGAAGGTTGTTGTAATAGTTTTTTTTTTTTGTAAGGTTTGGAAAATTAGATATGAGCTCGTGGCAGAGCCCAAATACATTTATACAATTTAAAGTATTTAAAAAAAAAAAAATAACTATGACGAACTCTACGTAAAAACAATATTCCAAAATATGAACTTCATATTTTCCTTTCTTCCTATATATATATATATATATATATATATTTATATATATATATATATATATGAATGAAAACAAGAAGAAGATTCCAAATAAAATACACGCCCAGCTATAAACATTTTCTACTTATATTTTCTATGGCATTTCTAGTATAGAAAATATAAGAAAAATAATATACTTCCGACACTTTCAGTTCCTGTGCACACACACACACACACACACACATATAGAGAGAGAAATGTAGAAGGTTAAGTCTGAATTTGAATAATCGATAACTGACAAGTTGTGCCCCGACCACGCCCCCCGCCCCCTGATACATTCAAAGAAGTTAAGATTAAAGAGCAGGTAGCATTCGAGTCTGGCTAAATACCATATATTTATGCCTACGATTATTATCGATTAACGATAACCGATTTACCATTATATATATATATCGATATATATATGAACTTATGTATATGTGATGTTGTGATATTTGACTCTAGCCATATAAGACCTTAATTGAGTTTGAATACGTTTCTGTATGTATTATTTAGTGTGATTTCATGATGATATAGCCATATTATTTAGTTTACCCCTCCCCTTCACACCTCCAGCCCCCTCAACCCATCGCACGCGTCAATTGGTTTTTTTGTTCCCCTAGATATATTCATGTGATAGCGACTCGATAGATTATATCCAGCATCTGATCAATGACATTGCGAGTTCAGTTTTTGCTAGTTAAGTAACAAAATTAAAGTTTATATATCTATATAGAATATCTAGATATATCTAGATACATATATATGTATGTATATGTATGTTATATGTACGCTTCAGTTTCTGTGCGCACCCGCAAAGATTTACATACATCAAAACTATATATATATATACTATATTCAGTCTATATTCAGATGATAGATGTCTATATCTGTATATATATGTATAGAAACATTCTGGCTGCAAGCTCCATTATAATATGCTTTGCCATGCTACGGATTAGGGTTTGAACCAGTGTCTCGCTTGTGAAACTGGTTTTCTACATTCTAGAACTTCGAATGTCAATTAAGAAAACCGTTTGATTTTACTTGTTTGAATATTTATTTTTTTCTTTAAATTAATTTATATCAAATTTCAACAATTTATATATTTTAAATCAAAACCATTTTTACATTCCCTTTTTTTCTATTATATCTTTTAAATCCTTTTTGCCACGCCGAAGATTTAATGCCCTTGTAGACAATACCCTTTTGCAGATATGTGAGCAGAGCGAAGCTCATAAATGCGAAGTTTTTTGAAAATATCTTGGAAAACAGAATATTTTCCCATACTTCATCGATTGTTCCTATGTAGCAGCTGTATGATATAGTCCTCCGATTCGGCCGATTTCGACATATGTACTGTCTGCAAAAGAAAGAGATGGAAAATATCGAGAAAGATAGCTTTGAAATGGAGAGAGACTAGTTCGAATAGAAACAGACAGACGGACAGATGACATCGGCTGTTGATGCTGAACTAGAACATATATACTTAAGTACAAGTCCCTCTGTTTGTCCGTCCGACTGTCTGTTTCTATAAGAACTTGTCTCTCTGTATTAAAGCTATCCTCTTTTCCCAGATTGAAGCACTATATCATACAGCTGCTATATTGGAAAAATCGGTGGGAATAGTACGATCTTATATATGAAAATATTCTGTTTTCCAAGATATTTTTATCAAGGAGCTTCGCCCTTATCGTATATCTGCAAAATCGAGGAAAATATCTGCGAGGGTATTAAAACTTCGGCGTACCGAAGATCAACTTACTTTCTCGTTTAATTTGATTTTTTGTTAATTAAGAAATAATTCAAAATAACTCGTCTGGGATTTGGTTTTGAGCTGAAAATAGTTTTGCAGCCTGAAGCGCATAACCTTATACTATATAGACATATATATTCATATATAGATATATATGCATATAAATAAATAATTCATAGCTTGCATACGGTTAGCAAATCTTTGAATTTCCAGCAAGGCACAAATTAACACGATCAAAAAAAAAACTCATAGCAAGCCCCTCTATTATAAAAAATGCTCTATAATATTTACAAAAAAAAAAAAACAAAGGGAATGATATCAAAAATCAAAAAAAAAAAATGTTGTTTCGGTTTTTCTCGACGGTTAAGTACAAAAGGTTTTTGGACTAAAGAAAATATTTAAAAAAAAAACAAACAATTAAAAAGAAGTAAATTATGAGAAATGTTTATTAATTAACTGAATATAAATGTGAACAATTTATTATATATTTATCTATTACGATATGATATAGGACTAAAGAACTGGGCAAAGCTGCGTAGACAGACAGCAACAGATTCATAAAATTGCAAAAAAAAATCAAATAAACATAAATCGAAAATCAAGTAAATATTGTGAGTTAAACGAGAGTCCCCTTAAATGAAATAGATAAAACCCGGAAGAACAAAATATTTAGCACGAAATTTAACAGTCATAAAACAAAATTAAAGAATAAAAAATAAATAAAAAACACAATCATATTGTCTTCTTTTTATAAACATGGACTTAGATATAAATACTAGATACTAGATACTAGATACTGGATACTAGATACTGGATACTAGATACTAGATACTAGATACTAGATACTAGATACTAGATACTAGATACTAGATACCAGATACTAGATACTAGATAGATAGTTTATTTTTAATTGTATTGTATTGTAGTTATAAACGAATCCGAAGTTTTTGTTAAGTATTTTTTTTTAATTAAGTTTAATTTATAGCATTAAGTTTTAGAACATTTTTCAGTTTACTATTTGAAGGCAAAACTTTTTGTGTATAAATTCATTTAATTTCAATTTTGCCCGCTTTGCTACAATTCACAACAAATTAATGTTGCGAAAGACTTAAAAGCTGGAGTCGCTGGCAAAGTCTGTTGATAAAGGAAACCGAAAGGCTCTCCAGAGTAGTTATTTGTATTTGTACTTATATACACCAAGATAAGTATATCTAGATCTTATAACTTTCGAGTTAGGCTCAAAGAACCTTCTCTCAAAATCGATATTAATCGACCAAGAGATATCGAAAAAAGCACTTCTATCTTATATTAAACCTGATAAACCAATTGTTAGAGCATCTTTAATTTGATTACCATATTGGGAACTAAAAATTTAAAAATAAAGAAGATCAATGATTGAATTTTTAGTCAATATGCAGAATGTTCTCGGGATCCACGTAGCTGCAACAGTGGCTCAGCACCCACTTGAAAAGCTGGACGGTGGCGCTGGTTATCAGGTTTAAAAGCTTGCTAAATGCATCGCTTGGGTCCGTCTCCACGTTGCAAGTCTTGCCGAAGTTCTCCCCGACCTCCGTCTGGGTTAAATTCTCGTTTAGCCAGCGATCCATTCTAGCCAAAAACTCGGATCAATGCAGTTCCACTTCTTGAGTCGTCTAATACAAAAGAGCACTTACCTAATGGCCTCTGCCCCAGACCTCAAATGCACATAACTGACTTTTATGAGAAAAGTGTCCTAAAATTTACAAAAGTTTAGCCCTAATCGGTTGTATAAAATGTTCTAAACCTTTTCCGATTTCAGCATTGACATTTCGTCTTGCAGGCGAGACAAAGCAACACTGATTTGAAAATAAGTATGATGCATTATTGATGTGTTTTCGTAGACCTTATATACTTACCATAAAAAAAAGGAAGTGGAGTTATGTCGTTATGTCGCGGAGTTATGTCGTTTTGGAACGTCATATCTCCGCGCGGAGCTATGTCGTTTTGGAGCGTCATATCTCCGCGCGGACCTTCCAAATCATACCCTTTTTTTTTGTCGAAATCGGAGTCGGTTCAAAAATCATAACTTATTTCATACTTTTTTTTTTGGATATCTCGGATAAATATTGTCGGATTTTGAAATGTTATACCTATTTGAATTCGTACGGAACCCTTATATCAATTTGCATTCATAGAAATTAAATATCGATGGGTCTAAAAAAAGTTGTTGACCAAAAAACAATTGGTTCTTGTAAAGTCAAAATTTTTTCAAAATCTAGGTCGGTGTGAAAATCGAAACTTTTTCGATGATTTTTTTAATATCTCGGGTAATAGCTCCGCGCGGAGTTATGTCGTTTTGGAACGTCATATCTCCCTGCGGAGCTATTTCCATCCGAGCGGAGGGAGTTATGTCGTTTTGGAACGTCATATCTCCCCGCGGAGCTATTTCCATCCGAGCGGAGGGAGTATTGTCGTTTTGGAACGTCATATGTCCCCGCGGAGCTATTATCCATCATACCGCTTGGAGTTATGTCGTTTTGGAACGTCATATCTCCGCGCGGAGCTATTTCCATCCGAGCGGAGGGAGTTATGTCGTTTTGGAACGTCATATCTCCCCGCGGAGCTATTTCCATCCGAGCGGAGGGAGTTTTGTCGTTTTGGAACGTCATATGTCCCCGCGGAGCTATTTCCATCCGAGCGGAAGGAGTTTTGTCGTTTTGGAACGTCATATCTCCCCGCGGAGCTATTATCCATCATACCGCGCGGAGTTATGTCGTTTTGGAACGTCATATCTCCCAGCGGAGTTATGTCGTTTTGGAACGTCATATCTCCCAGCGGAGCTATGTCGTTTTGGAACGTCATATCTCCCCGCGGAGCTATTACCCATCATAACGCGCGGAGTTATGTCGTTTTGGAACGTCATATCTCCCCGCGGAGCTATTATCCATCATACCGCGCGGAGTTATGTCGTTTTGGAACGTCATATCTCCCAGCGGAGTTATGTCGTTTTGGAACGTCATATCTCCCAGCGGAGCTATGTCGTTTTGGAACGTCATATCTCCCCGCGGAGCTATTATCCATCATACCGCGCGGAGTTATGTCGTTTTGGAACGTCATATCTCCCCGCGGAGCTATTATCCATCATACCGCGCGGAGTTATGTCGTTTTGGAACGTCATATCTCCCAGCGGAGTTTTGTCGTTTTGGAACGTCATATCTCCGCGCGGAGCTATGTCGTTTTGGAACGTCATATCTCCCCGCGGAGCTATTACCCATCATACAGCGCGGAGTTATGTCGTTTTGGAACGTCATATCTCCCCGCGGAGCTATTTCCATCCGAGCGGAGGGAGTTATGTCGTTTTGGAACGTCATATCTCCCCACGGAGCTATTTCCATCCGAGCGGAGGGAGTTATGTCGTTTTGGAACGTCATATCTCCCCGCGGAGCTGTTTCCATCCGAGCGGAGGGAGTTATGTCGTTTTGAAAAGTCATATCTCCCCGCGGAGCTATTTCCATCCGAGCGGAGGGAGTTATGTCGTTTTGGAACGTCATATCTCCCCGCGGAGCTATTACCCATCATACCGCGCAGAGTTATGTCGTTTTGGAACGTCATATCTCCCCGCGGAGCTATGTCGTTTTGGAACGTCATATCTCCCCGCGGAGCTATTTCCATCCGAGCGGAGGGAAATATGTCGTTTTGGAACGTCATATCTCCCCGCGGAGCTATTTCCATCCGAGCGGAGGGAGTTATGTCGTTTTGGAACGTCATATCTCCCCGCGGAGCTGTTTCCATCCGAGCGGAGGGAGTTATGTCGTTTTGAAAAGTCATATCTCCCCGCGGAGCTATTTCCATCCGAGCGGAGGGAGTTATGTCGTTTTGGAACGTCATATCTCCCCGCGGAGCTATTACCCATCATAACGCGCGGAGTTATGTCGTTTTGGAACGTCATATCTCCCCGCGGAGCTATTATCCATCATACCGCGCGGAGTTATGTCGTTTTGGAACGTCATATCTCCCAGCGGAGTTTTGTCGTTTTGGAACGTCATATCTCCGCGCGGAGCTATGTCGTTTTGGAACGTCATATCTCCCCGCGGAGCTATTACCCATCATACAGCGCGGAGTTATGTCGTTTTGGAACGTCATATCTCCCCGCGGAGCTATTTCCATCCGAGCGGAGGGAGTTATGTCGTTTTGGAACGTCATATCTCCCCGCGGAGCTATTACCCATCATACCGCGCAGAGTTTTGTCGTTTTGGAACGTCATATCTCCCCGCGGGTCTATTATCCATCATCCCGCGCGGAGCTATGACGTTTTGGAACGTCATATCTCCCCGCGGAGCTATTACCCATCATACAGCGCGGAGTTATGTCGTTTTGGAACGTCATATCTCCCCGCGGAGCTATTTCCATCCGAGCGGAGGGAGTTATGTCGTTTTGGAACGTCATATCTCCCCACGGAGCTATTTCCATCCGAGCGGAGGGAGTTATGTCGTTTTGGAACGTCATATCTCCCCGCGGAGCTGTTTCCATCCGAGCGGAGGGAGTTATGTCGTTTTGAAAAGTCATATCTCCCCGCGGAGCTATTTCCATCCGAGCGGAGGGAGTTATGTCGTTTTGGAACGTCATATCTCCCCGCGGAGCTATTACCCATCATACCGCGCAGAGTTATGTCGTTTTGGAACGTCATATCTCCCCGCGGAGCTATGTCGTTTTGGAACGTCATATCTCCCCGCGGAGCTATTTCCATCCGAGCGGAGGGAAATATGTCGTTTTGGAACGTCATATCTCCCCGCGGAGCTATTTCCATCCGAGCGGAGGGAGTTATGTCGTTTTGGAACGTCATATCTCCCCGCGGAGCTGTTTCCATCCGAGCGGAGGGAGTTATGTCGTTTTGAAAAGTCATATCTCCCCGCGGAGCTATTTCCATCCGAGCGGAGGGAGTTATGTCGTTTTGGAACGTCATATCTCCCCGCGGAGCTATTACCCATCATACCGCGCAGAGTTATGTCGTTTTGGAACGTCATATCTCCCCGCGGAGCTATGTCGTTTTGGAACGTCATATCTCCCCGCGGAGCTATTATCCATCATACCGCGCGGAGTTATGTCGTTTTGGAACGTCATATCTCCCCGCGGAGCTATTTCCATCCGAGCGGAGGGAGTTATGTCGTTTTGGAACGTCATATCTCCCCGCGGAGCTATTATCCATCATACCGCGCGGAGTTATGTCGTTTTGGAACGTCATATCTCCCCACGGAGCTATTCCCCATCATACCGCGCGGAGTTATGTCGTTTTGGAACGTCATATCTCCCCGCGGAGCTATTTTCATCCGAGCGGAGGGAGTTATGTCGTTTTGGAACGTCATATCTCCCCGCGGAGCTATTTCCATCCGAGCGGAGGGAGTTATGTCGTTTTGGAACGTCATATCTCCCCGCGGAGCTATTATCCATCATACCGCGCGGAGTTATGTCGTTTTGGAACGTCATATCTCCCCACGGAGCTATTCCCCATCATACCGCGCAGAGTTATGTCGTTTTGGAACGTCATATCTCCCCGCGGAGCTATTTCCATCCGAGCGGAGGGAGTTATGTCGTTTTGGAAAGTCATATCTCCCCGCGGAGCTATTTCCATCCGAGCGGAGGGAGTTATGTCGTTTTGGAACGTCATATCTCCCCGCGGAGCTATTTCCATCCGAGCGGAGGGAGTTATGTCGTTTTGGAACGTCATATCTCCCCGCGGAGCTATTATCCATCATACCGCGCGGAGCTATGTCGTTTTGGAACGTCATATCTCCCCGCGGAGCTATTTCCATCCGAGCGGAGGGAGTTATGTCGTTTTGGAACGTCATATCTCCCCGCGGAGCTATTTCCATCCGAGCGGTGGGAGTTATGTCGTTTTGGAACGTCATATCTCCCCGCGGAGCTATTATCCATCATACCGCGCGGAGTTATGTCGTTTTGGAACGTCATATCTCCGCGCGGAGCTATTTCCATCCGAGCGGAAGGAGTTATGTCGTTTTGGAACGTCATATCTCCCCGCGGAGCTATTATCCATCATATCGAGCGGAGTTATGTCGTTTTGGAACGTCATATCTCTCCGCGGAGCTATTATCCATCATATCGCGCGGATTTATGTCGTTTTGGAACGTCATATGTCCCCGCGGAGCTATTTCCATCCGAGCGGAGGGAGTTATGTCGTTTTGGAACGTCATATCTCCCCGCGGAGCTATTTCCATCCGAGCGGAGGGAGTTATGTCGTTTTGGAACGTCATATCTCCCCGCGAAGCTATTTCCATCCGAGCGGAGGGAGTTATGTCGTTTTGAACCGTCATATCTCCCCGCGGAGCTATTACCCATCATACCGCGCAGAGTTATGTCGTTTTGGAACGTCATATCTCCCCGCGGGGCTATTATCCATCATACCGCGCGGAGTTATGTCGTTTTGGAACGTCATATCTCCCCACGGAGCTATTCCCCATCATACCGCGCAGAGTTATGTCGTTTTGGAACGTCATATCTCCCCGCGGAGCTATTTCCATCCGAGCGGAGGGAGTTATGTCGTTTTGGAAAGTCATATCTCCCCGCGGAGCTATTTCCATCCGAGCGGAGGGAGTTATGTCGTTTTGGAACGTCATATCTCCCCGCGGAGCTATTTCCATCCGAGCGGAGGGAGTTATGTCGTTTTGGAACGTCATATCTCCCCGCGGAGCTATTATCCATCATACCGCGCGGAGCTATGTCGTTTTGGAACGTCATATCTCCCCGCGGAGCTATTTCCATCCGAGCGGAGGGAGTTATGTCGTTTTGGAACGTCATATCTCCCCGCG